TCTTTCCTCCACAGCAACTTATAAATTTTTGCAGAAACAGTTAGCCTACTATGAAATATAAAGATAAAAAACAATGAAAAAAAACCCCCAAATTGCAGAAGTGTTGTATAAAGCAAACGATGACACAGTATTAATTTTTATTTACAGCCAAAAGAAAAAAAGTAGCACCCGATCAGGACATTTTATACCACAGAACAAACTGTATGAAGATCCAAATTAGTAGATCATAATGTTCCTAGAACTAATAACTTAAATATAGAAATGTTCAGTTGTACGATATTATAACTAAATACAATTATTACGTGAACACTTCTAACAGCACATAATAAAAAAAAGTGACCCGCAAAGCATTGGAAAACCACTGTAAAATGTAAACAGATAAAAAAGTTAGTCGTCGATGAAGAAAACTAGATAACTTTTCAAAAGCTCATCCTCGACTGCTGCTCCAAGATTACAGTGCTGAAACATATTACAGCTTTTACAGTCCAATGATTTTGTAAATAAACCAAAAATATTAACTGATACCGCTGTAACAAACGTTGGTAAAATCCCATTGGCACTTAACCAAATATCAGTTATAAAAGCACCACAAGATACTTCAAAGAAACTTAGCCACAAAAGAGTTAAGCACCTTTACGAATTCCTAATAAAACAAAAAGGTTAACGGCTCCTGGAAGTGTACAAAAATTTTGCAAAAAAAAACAGATACAAAGATTTGAAAACTCAATAAACTAATAAATGGTATATCACGACAATGTTTAGGAAAAAAATTCAAAAAAAAATCTACAATTTTCAATAGTTGAAACTGTAATTTTAGGTTCGATATGCTTAAGAAACAATTCAAAAATTAAAATTCTAAACCAAAGTTAACACCTGACACTACAGTTATTTCCCCGTTGTACACATTAAAAGAAACCCGTTAATGACAGCTTTCAGACGGTAACCATCCTGACAACTGATCCACTTCGCGATGGCGTACTGCTGTCATCTGACTGTACGCTTACAACATTATTACTTTCTGCCTCGGAAGACAGAGTCAAATTGGGGTTATTGAAGGTGTTGTAAGTAGGTGGTTGAG